GAGCGACGCAGGCTGCGGGTGAGGACAGGACAGAACAAATGCCGTAGGGAGGACGTGCAGGCGAAAGGAGGCGGCCAGGCCATGCCCAGGGAGTCAAGAGCACCCACAGGCTCTGTAAGGCCGAACGGGGATGCTGAGATACCGCTGTCTCTGAATGGGGGGGGGGGTCTGTCTCGTTGTCTTGCAGAAGAGACGCAGATCAGCTGCTCCCACTCTTAAGTCCGCCTAGGACCTGGGGCATCACTCCCTCCTCCAGCAGCGTGTCCCCTAGGTTGGGTGTTCATTGCATGGAGAGGCTGTTTGGGAAGTGAGCGGTTCTGACGTTGTCTTTCGGACCCTCAGATCAATGTTTTCCTCACAATGAGCCACTGACATTTTCCAGACAGAGTCTGCCCACCCCACGGCTGGGAGCCCAGGACTTCCTGGAGAAACTGCATTTTCTGAATAAGTACCCTGGAGCCTCAAAAACTTTTAGCGGGGTGTTGAAAGAGACCTCTGGCGTTCTGCGTAGTGTTCTGGCCAAGGAAGCCCAGGCTGCCACGTGGGAGGGTGAGAGGGGGCTTAATTCTCCTCCTCCTCCCTTCATGCATGCTTCAGACCTCGTGGCAGCCTTCTCATTATGTCAGAGAAATACGAGAGCCATAGCCTGGCGCACATCTATGGAGAAGGCTGGGTGAGGGAAGGGTGCTCAGCATGCCGACAGCTCAGCCTTCAGATGGACAAGCCTGGTGGCCCCTCAGGCAGCACTAGGCTGTGGATGTTGGGGAGAAGGTGCGGCTCCGGCTCGTCTCGTTTTGAGACGCAGGGATGCTTCTGAGTGCAGGCCCTGCTAGCCATTGAAGGCAGGCAAAGCCTGGTGAGAGTGGAATAGGGTCCCGGCCTCTGAAGGCTGAGAAGACAGTTGCACGATGCTTCGAGTGGCCACCAGATCTTCCAGGCGTGGTAGCCCACCAGGGCTTTTATTCCTAGGGGGATAATGGACCTTCCTCATCATCACCTTGTCATGCATGCACTTGGATCGAGCCCCTTCTGTGGGGTCTGGCTGGGGGAGTCTGGTTTTGCTTGCTGAAGAAAGTGACTAGAAGTTGGACGTGTGTAGCCCCTAGGATGTTCTTCTGAGAGTCCTTGCCCGCTTCTGTGTCCTTCTCATTTGCCTCCCCAATGTCCCCCATGTGGAGCAGGGGCTCTGAATCATCTCTGGTCGGCATGGTATCCCCACCCACCTTTGAGGTTGTCTACTGGCTTAGGCCAAATGTGACTAGATCAATGTGTGTTTTAAGGTTTCGTTCACGTGTGATGCTATCCTTTGGGCGCAAACAAATTGCTCCCGGGGCTCTTCCACAGACCTGCTGCTCCTGGGGCAGGGTGTCCCGGAGGGATCCCTTTCCTGAAAGCGTCTCCAGCCCTGCCCTCGGTTCTGCCAACAGTGTTGGACCAGTCTGGCAGGGGCCCCCAGAGGGGCATGGCAGCGTAGTGTAGCCACTTCCTAGTTTGGCCACGTACGTTCAAGCCAGGGTTCACCAAACACAGGTGCTGCGTTCACACATCACATGCTGTACCCAAAGAAATACACTCTATAATGACTTAACTGCATAGGATGACTTAACATACGAAGACAATGGCTGGGTTCCCCAACACGCAAACTATCTGACCCCTAGACAGTTGCGTGTAGAGGAACCCAGCTTGGTGTGATAGCTGGAAGAGGAAAGTAAGGCTTCCGTGTGCCTGTCTGGGCCTTTCCAAACATGGCAAAGGGGTGCAGTTGTAGGGTGGGAAGGGCAATTCGGCCTGTTTTCTATTCTGTGGGTGGCAGAGATGGTGGGGGGCAAGGTCTGGGTTTATCCCCCTGAGTGGGTGGAGCCTAGAGGGTGGAGCTGCTGCTGGATCTCCCCGTGATGCTCGACTTCCAAGTGGCTGTGCCTTAGGGGTCCGCAGGCGACATCCAGCTGCCACCCGTAGCTTTTCCTAATAGCTTGGCCCGGAATGCTCCGTTTCTCCGTGGCCAAGGCTTGGTGGACGCCGGCTTCTCTATTGTAAACTTGGGGGTGTTCTTGTTTTCTCTTGCACTTTCACACCATGAGGGCATCCTGGTTCACAGAGGGGTGAGCAGCTGCAGTAGATAAATCACAGGAATTACAAACTTTGCGGGGCTCCTTGAAACACACAAAGGCTTTTTGCTGCGGGATGTTTTTTATATGTTGATGGCAGGGCAATCGCGAAAGACGATTAGCTCGGGTTTGGAATTAGCCCCGTACCCGAACCAGGCCGATTAACCGAGGCGCCTCTTGCGGCCATCGCGTGCCCCTCAGGGCCTGATGCTCTGGGGTAGTTCTGGTAGCCGCGGCTGCTCTTCTCAGCTAGACGTGCGCTGACTGCATGGGAGAGAACGTAGAAGGAACGTCCCTGGGAAATGGGTGGCCGCCTTCGGGTTTGAAAACTGCCGTTTCTTTCTCTCCCTAGAAGGCCAGAAATGCTCACATTCGGACCAGATTGAGAGCTCAGATTCCTACGGAGATCTCTCTGACGCCAGCGACCTCAAGACTCCCGAGAAACAGAACGCCAACGGTTCCTTCTCCTGCGACATGGTGGTCGCCAAAAATAAATTGGAGTCAGAGGGTGACAAGAAGTACCCCTGTCCTGAATGTGGCAGCTTTTTCAGATCCAAGTCCTATCTCAACAAACACATACAAAAAGTTCACGTCCGCTCCTTGGGCGCCCCCTTAGGGGACTTGGCCTCCGCCTTGGGGTCCCCCTTCTCTCCCCAACAGAACATGTCTCTCCTGGAGTCGTTTGGGTTTCAGATTGTTCAGTCTGCCTTTGCCTCGTCTCTGGTGGACCCAGAAGCCGACCAGCAGCCGGTGGGGCCGGATGGAAAGTGAGGCGTCTTTGCTCTTAAGCAAGCAGCGGCCTGTTTTTTTTATATAGAAGATGGCTGTGAGATACCAGATCCAGTTTTAGAGTGGGGAGAGGCTTACTTAAATTCCTTTTAGGTTCCCACCCTGCCCCTTTCTTTTCTCTCCAAACCCTTCCCTGGACGAAGATGGTTTTCAGCTGACAATCTGCAGGGTCCCTGCATGATGGTGAATGGGTGGTGGGGGATCTTTGGTGGCAGGCTGGCAGATCTGGGGCAGCACCTCGTCAGAGACCCAGCTCGGGAACCACGTGAACAACACAAAAGCCAGAGGGCCGGATCCAGAGTCTTGAGACGTCCTAGTTCAGCCGGCAGAGAGCCAGACGCTCCTCTGCCCTGCAGCTGTTCTCTCTGCTCAGGATTCACACGTTAGCAAAGGTGTCTGCTCATCCATGCGGACCCGGTGGTATCCAGTAGGTAGAATTGCTGTTTTCTTTGAAAGGAAAATCCACGGGAGGCCATTAAAAACAAACCACGTTTTTCCTTTAAAGAAGACAGGGCAGTTCTCAAGAAGCAGAGAGATGTCGTGGGAAAAAGATGCCACCAAATTCTTGAGCTGGCCGGAAAGCTTGCCTGCACGAGACCCCCGTAAGGGAGCAGCCGCTACTCGGGCGCCGCTCCTGCTTCCCTGTGCAGGGACGTCTCCTCAGTTGTGTTGTTGGCTTGTTTTTCTGATCCTCAACACTTGGCCATTGGTTTCCTGTCTCTCTCTTATAATTATGGTTATTATTATTACATTTATGATTTTAGGACCTGTTGTAGTGATTTGCTACTGAGACGCCTTCCAGGGCAATTATACAGAGAGCTCTTAAAGCAGCAGTCATGTTAGGATAGGATTAATTTTTTTTAGATGTATCATAATTAAAAACTTGGCTAGTTGATTGTTTTTAAGTCTATGGGATAATATAGTTATGCAAAGTGAAAGAAAGTTGGGGGAGGGAGAAATAAGCTTAAATTTCAGAAGAAGGTAAGAATGCACTCTTGGTTGGTTGATGCATAAAGACCTCCAGAAGTTTTAACATTTTCAATGAGATAATACGTTTTTTTGTACCACCAACCTCCTGTGCAAATAAATACAGAGTTCACAGAGTGATTTCAAAGCAGAAAATAATCATTGGATTGGACTGCATTAAAGAAGTTAGAATGTTACTTTATAAACTTTCTTTTGTCTTTTTTAATTTTTACATTTATTTTTATTTGTTTGGCACAGGGATTGAAAGGTGTTTGTATACTTTGATTGCAGAAGAGAGATTGTCCTGGTGTGAAGATGCCATTTCTGATCTCTATCTTTTGGGGCTCACTCTCCCTCCTATATGTTTATGTTTGTCCATGGGAACATAAGCAGAGCCCAGTTAGATCAGACCCTTTAGGTCTGCCCATCCCCTTGCCCAGTTGCTCCATGCCATCGGACATTTAAGGTTTGTTGTCTGATTCCATGGGAATGTATGCAGCCCTCAAGACTAGTTGCCATCAAGAGCCCGATGGCCAGAAACGTGTCCCCCCCCCCCTTTTGGAGTAACTTCAGCTGGCCCTCGCTGGGGACTGCAGTTCCATCGCCTAACTCGGTTCC